ACATCTGGGATGATCCGGGAACATCCCGGCAATCCGACCCCGGATGGGAGTGAAATATTTATTAATGACCCGGTGGTCCGGGATGATCTAGAAGAATAGCCTTTGCCGGCTTCATCCTTAGCTCTGCCAGAACGACCAGGGTTATATCGGGAAGCCACTGTTAGTATAAGCTGTTAGTATAAAGCTCTGCCGGCCACAAAACCGGGATGATCCGGGTTATGATATTGCTACGGTAGAGCCCCTGGTATATGCCGGCATTAGCCCCGGTAACTTCAGGCAGAGCCCCGGAGATAAAGGTAAAGCTACGGTTGATCCCGGTAGAGCCCCGGCAAAGGCCCGAGATCATTTCGAAAAGAATAACAACAATTGGGATAATTGCACTTGTTTGTATTAAAACCCTTCCCATTTCCCTTGCTATCAGGTATGGCATAAGGATTTCAGAAAATCATTTATGAATTACTATTCTGGAACAATAAATATTTATATTAAATAAAAAATTTAATAATGTATCAATGTTATCTTTTCGGGCGTTTTTCAATCCACCGGGGTTCTACCGGGGCTGCTGCCTGGATCGTCCTGGGCTCTGCCGGGGCTCATGGATGATCCTGTGCACATCCTGGGTGGTTAGTTGGGGAACTACTGTAGTGCTGCGGGAGTAAGTGAGACCGCAGCTTTATGAAGTTGACTAAAGGCTGATTTCCTTTTACAATTAGTACTGATTGTTTAAAAGCAAATCTGCAGTAATTCATAATATGTTGCTGATAAAAATGTAAGGATGTGCCTAAGAAGGCTAGGATGCTATAGTATGTGCACGCCCTTACATTACTTCTGTGTTTATTCGGGACTAACTGTGCCATGAGATAGAATTAAAGAATGCTTCTGTTGATTATAGAGTGTGTATTTTGGCGGTTACCAATCTAAGTTCAGGATCATGAAACTATTATTAATCATTATGCACTGTTCAGTTATAAAAGTAAAATAAATGATAATCATAAACATTGTCACTGATTTTAAATACGAATGTAAAATTAACAATTTTTCTAGTATGATCGTTTTTAGTCTCTCAATCTTGTATTTTGTTAAAAAACCAAAATGTTCTATTATATGTGGTATATAAACAAACATCCTTCTGGTAATCTTGCATTGCTACTTGTTTACATATGGTTACTTGAAATCTGCCCCTAATTACACTAAGGATCTGACAGGCACGTACTAACAGGAGAGTCCCGGTCAGTCTCGTAAACCTTTAAACTGCCAATCATTGGTAAGCTTTCATAATTTTGAAAGTGAAGCAGTTTCTTAATTTAATCGCTTGAAAACCAATATAGAGTAGGTTACAGTTTTGATTCAATCATTTTGTTTTTTTCCAACAAAAATTAACAATTTGTTATTTCGTAAAAAAATGAACAATTTGTTTTATTTTCATTTAAAGCAAATAAACTGTAAAGACAGAGATACTTTGTCTAATACTATCTGTAAAGAATGTTTTTGATTGCATGGCTAAATAAGCATTCCCCGGAAAATACAAATCAAAATGAAGGTAAAACAAATACGTGGCAATCAGATCTGCATTGCAAGTTCATCTGAATCTTTAACTATAGGGTACATTGTATATGCAGTTACAGTGAATTTGTTTGGAAGTCAAACTACTACTTTGTTTAACATTTTTCTACTTTTATTAGCTCGACTATGCAATATGGTTTTGGACAATATATCAATTATTTGATAGAACCATCTTATACATTTTAAAATACTGCTTAAACTGACTTTAGAATAACTTAAAAAAAGTCACATTATGAAGGGTTATTCTTTTCAAAAAGTAATGAACATTGACTTTATAACATGAAATAACAATCATATCATTCATGTTTTTAATATTTTTGTCAATAGGCAAACATTTTTTCACTTAGACTTTTTTCGCATTCAGTTACTATAGTATACACAGTTTCAGCACTGAATACGAAAAAAGTCTAAGTGAAAAAAAATACATGAAAATATGCAAAAATGATATTATCTTACTTATCAGTACTACTTTTATCAACAGTTATCATTATAAAACATACTTTAAAACTGAAAATGAAATACTGCTTATAATTTTTGTCACTTAGACCATCACATTTTTTTATAAAATGATTTGCGAAAAAGTCTAAGTGACAAGGTTCACTTAGACCTTTTTCGCATTGACTGTTTTTCATATTTCACTTAGTCTTTTTTCGTATTTTTTAAATATATATAAAAATGAATGTGTTGTGTTCAAGATTTTTTCACAGAAGATGTATATACAGATTTCAAACACATTTATATAAAAAAGTGATTTTCTGAAAAAATGTCACTTAGACCTCTTTCGCTTTCACCCCTCGATATGTTAACATTAATTTAACATGTTTTTATACTGTTTGTATAACACGCCACGTCAAAATAATTGCACGACTGCGCCAAACCGTTTACAAAATCGGAAAAGCGACATGGGTATGTGATAAAAGATTCTATGATATTCTAAAAGAAATGTATATCCTTATTCAGATTCAGACAAACTCGAAAACTTTTATAATAAAGCCAGATATGTGCGCGTATTCTTGCGACATTTTAATTAACAAATAAAACATGGCCTTGAGGGCAAAATGTAAGTTTACGGACTGGTTGGTCAGGCTGAGGAAGGTTTATGGTCCGAATCGCAGCTGAGAAGGTCTGACCAACCAGTCCGTAAACTTGCAGTTTGCCCGAAAGGTCATGTTTTATTTGTTATATTATACCGAATCTAAATCATTTCATCCCTTTTTCTGCTAGATATGTTCGAAAGAGCTTCAGTGAGTGTGTTGTCGCGGGTTTGGTGTTTTTTAGAATCCTTAGATTCGCTGTGTTTCCCTAAATCTGTCTCCGATAAGGGCGGATCGCTTAGCCATTTTGACAGTTCGACAATATCGTATGTTTGTGATGAAATTCGCGCGTCTTGAAAAAAAATCTGGAAACAAAGTGATCCCTAGGAAGCATTAATTACAGCACAATTACGTGAAAATTTGCAGAATCGGTTTGATTGAGTCTGTATATGAGGTAGATGACATTCATCTAGAGAAAATAATTCTGTTTTAGAACTGTATAAAAATTGTAAAAAAATATTTTCATACGAAAACTACCTTAACATATTGCCTAAGAATCTTAGATTTTACATCACAAGAATTAGAATGTCTGCACATACACTAAGAGTACAAACGGGTAGATATGGGCAAAATAGAATACCAAGGAGTGAAAGATATGTTTATTTTGTAATACAATGGATTTGGAAGATGAATACCATTTTGTTTTGATATGCCCATGCTATGTAGACATAAGGGAATAATATGTGAAACAATATTATTACAAAAGACCATCAATGTGTAAATTTATTGAGCTTATTTCTTCCAATAATAAAATAATATTTACGAATCTAGCTAAATATCTGAGAAAATCGATTAAAATCAGGAACTCTTCTGTTAGTACTAACACCTAAATTTTATATTTGGTACAAATTTATAAATTCAAAATTCAAATTGATACTCTGCTTAGGACATTACATTACAAGTGATATATAATATTCGCTTAATCCATAATTGTTCATTCTCCAGCTTTACATGGAATTCAATACTCGTATATATTAAATTTATTGTTTGTTAAATAGAAACGTGACATATTTACAATTTGTGTATTTATATTGCAGTGATGTACTATGTACAAATCCAAAAAAAAATGAGGTAAAATGAATAAGTGCAACAATCCTCATGCCCCCTAGCACCGGCTTGAGCGGTTATCAATTCTCAACACTGAATAGTGTTGGAATCAATGATCCCGAAGGACCAGAAAGATGAGGAATAATATCATCATTTAAAAACAGAGTACAGTAACCAGATTTTTTAAAAGCAGTCCTGTTTATTTGACAGGATCAACAAGGAAAGGTGGCATTAAGCAAGTCAGTTTAATGAATATAGTATCTATGTAAGTGCACTATACTGTGCAATTAATGAATGTATTATACAACAGCATTAGATGCAAACCCTCCTAAAAGTATTAAATCGGCATCAAAACATAGCGCTTGAAATATTCCTACACTGGCAAAAGTTTTTAGCAGATTTTTTTTAAATCTTCATAATTATCAAATAAACTCCGTAACATTTGAAAAATCCAAACTTAAAATCATTAACGAAAGCTTAACATTTTGAATTGCCCACTCAAATAATGCTTATGTATGCTTGAACATTATGTGAGCATGTATCAATCTGTTATGACAACAAGCATTCAAAATGTCTTGAGATTAAAGACGTTTTTGTCACACGCAAAATAAGCATACTTTGTTTCATTAAATATTGACACCATATTTCCTCTTTTCCACAGGTAACTATTTTAAGCCTTTTTATTGGTAATACCTCAATAGAGCACCGTAAATACGACAGAAAATAAATGTAAATTCACCAGAATAAGTCTGACTTTCGTTTAACAGTTCTTACTCCGAGTGTCTAAAGTTTGTTCTTTGATCTCGGTTAGGTACAAATTATTTACGCCAATATGAAGGCAAAGAAAGGAACCAATTAACAACTTACAAATTTTATTCGTCGATGAATACCTCTTTATAATCTTTGTATTTTGTAAATCTTTTTAATGTAGGTCAAGTGATTGACAATGCTTAACTTTATTCTAATGTAATCCCCATTACTATAATTTACCTCAATTATTTAACAAGAAAGAAACTATTCATGATAATTTAATGCGATTACTGGATTTTGAGGGATTTTTTATGAAGTATAAATTAGTACATAGGAACGTCTTATACGTTATAGTAAATTCTATTCAATACATTGAGCTCAAAGACCTATTTAGTAGCACCTATTCATGGTTATACTGTCAGGAATTTTGGCGTTCAAATTCACGACGGAAGAAAGCGAACGACCAATGACTTCCTATGTTTCGTCGGTCTACTAGTATATAAACAGTAGACATTGTCAACATGCTTCATTTAAATCTTGTGGCAAAGTCACTGTTACTTATCACATTATATAGAAGAATATCATAATGAAGTATAGAATCTACGTCGTGATTCTGTGTTTGGTGAGAGATTTGTATATGCCTATGCGTAAAATTTACAATTGTAGAAAATAAATTATAGGTTTTTATTACTTTTTATTACTGTCTGTCTGTGGGACAATATTATTGTATACAAGGTGATAACGAAACTTTTTACTATTATTTTTTTACTTTTACGATATTTTCATTCAAGCAATACGTATGTACGTAATAGCATTATTTTCATTCGGATTTGAAATAATTGTTTTATATAGAGTAATACTTTGACTAACATGTGAGGTTTCTGTAAAATACAGTAGATGTATCTTGATTTCAAATAGACGGATTCATAGATTATTTCTTGTCCGAGGAGTTTCACATAATAAAATGTACGTTTGCTCCTCGGCATTTATATTTTAACAGAAATTGATGAAAATTGACAGTCTAATACTTTTAAGTCACAAAAAATAACCAAGTTTTCAAATAACAACATAAGTCCAACCACTTTTGAGACACCCCCGAATACTGAGTATCAATGTAAATAATATTGAAATATTAAGAGTCTCATTTAGCGATGCAGTTTTAAAGAAATTTACTTATACTTAATGTTTAAAATTCAAAGAAATAAATCGTTTTTTATTCAGGTATACCACCTTATACATACAAATGGATCATATATTCCAACCGGATCTGGGAAAAACACGTGCAAAGAAAATGTAGATGCGTTAGAAGATGTCATTAGTGCACTTTCAAATTTTTACACTGTGTCAAGTTTTAATACAACGATGTATGCACCACCAAAGGATTTTGTACGAGTTGATGAGCAGGAGTATTCTAATATTCGCAAGTATTGTACTAACTTCAAAACAAAATTTCAAAACATTTTGGATTTCAAATTTCAAGGATCTTCAGTAAAATCTTCCACCAGCCATTTGGCAACGTGTCCGTGGGTGTTTGTAGACAATTATGATGAAGACAGACTTCCCAAACTCATTTATGAGGCAAAATGTGTATGTAGCCGTTGTCTACATAAAACAAATGGACATAAAGATGTACAGCTCGTGCCTGGCCTGGGACGCTGTAAACCGGTTATGACGTCAGTGATGACAGTCAGACGACAATGTAGGCACAATTCGGACGTGTATGAATATGTAGCGAAAGCTGAACGAATATCAGTCGGATGCACGTGCACAAGTCCAGTTTTCGTTTAATGATAATTGATTCGTTTTCTTGATAGCCAGTAAGATGAATTAATAAAGTATTAGCTTTACTCCTGATACTCATTGACCTCTGTGAAAGTCTGAATATAATGTTGTTAGAACGTGTTGTTTTATTGTTCTATTTTGTGTATGTTTGTATGTATATAGGCAATAAAATATGGTTAAACTAAACTCATAGACTGCAGAATGATTTTTTTTCTCCAGAAATGATAAAACTTGCTGTAGAAATATGTAATACAAATGTACATTGTATTTTCTCTTCACATAATAAATTGATTAGTTTGACGTGATAATTTTTTTAAATATGAAAGCATGTTTTAACATCGCTTTACAATGAAGATATTTTCCCAAAAATATTTCAAATATTGATAAAAAATCTAAAACAAATGTACCATTTATAGGATATCCTTTTGGAAAAATAAGATTGATTAAGTTCTACATGATGAAAATTTTTACGACAAATATTATTTTGTTCCAGAGCGTTTTATTATCTGCTATACAAATATATGTAATATTTAATCATGTATATATCTAACACTTGCCAATAACTATGTTTAAAATTTGTTCCTGGTTTGTTGTAATAATGCCTGGTACTAGTGGTGTTGGTAGTTTACTCCGGACCACGACAGTTTAAGCCACAGATCACAGTTCGGCCACAGCATCGTTCCTGGACGGGCTTTCAAGCAGTTTATCATTACTAGTTATGTACATGCCAGAGCAGAAGTACAGTGCGAATGACCGTAGAAAGAAAATTAATACTGTAAAGTCATCATTCAATCGCACATAACTTGTAAATTATTACTCAAATCTTGAATCTTTTTACTTTTCCTAAAATTCTTAGTACATTCTTTTTCAATTTTGATTTTCTTGAAATATCTTGGCTTAGCTAGAGGCATGCAGCTTTAATCATGTATCATAAAGCTATGTCATCAAACAGGAGTATAAACCATAGAAATATCTACAATAAAGCTGTCATAGTATTTGCTATATGTTTTACTATTGTGACATTAAATCCTTAAATCACCTTCACATATGATAGAAAACCATCCTAAATGTGGGTTGTTTTTAAGGCAAGTGTACTATGAAACTAAATAAAACATGTATCCGCATCAACAAATAAAGTCTATTTAAATATGGTTAGATCGGTTAAACGGATTTGTTCTAGCACTGCTGGCCCGCCATATCACCTCATAGGGATATAAATTTACCCTTGGACTGGCTTCGTCAAGTCGTGACATCTACAAAAAACAACACATTTCTTTTAAAAGAAGCAAAGAATATGCACACTTAATTCTGAAATCAAACAGAGAAGCTTAATTCATAGCGTGTTATTAATGCTCTATGCTCAAATATATAAGACACAAAATTCAGTTGATCTTATCAACACATAACAATAAAATTTATCTTTAAATGCCCTGAAACATAGTTCTGTTGAACGTACTAATTACTGTGGTGACTTCAGGGCTGAGTTTCATAGAATGGCCTAAGTGCATCCTTAGTCACTGGACTTATGACAAACTATAGGACTAACTTAGGACCGTTTCAATAAATACTTTTATCTTTAGTAAAAGTTTTAGACTTTACTTAATTCATTCTAATGAGAAAAAATACTTAATACAAAGGCACGGGCTTCAATCCGCAATGTTTAAATGTTCATCTGCAGTGTTATTCTTAACATAAGAGTCAAAAGTAAGGACAATTTCTTTGAAATGAAAATTGTCTCAGTTTTGGTCTTAAGACACATCTAAGTCTAAGGACTTTAAATGAAGATTGGTTTAAACATATTTATTTAAGTTCGATTGCGAAACATGCTCTTGCAACTTAATATATTAATCACTTTCGAGTCCGCTTCCTGGTGGCATATAAGAAATCATGGTTGTAACACTCGTAGGGCTCGAACCCATGATACCTGGGTTGAGAGACAGACACCTTAACCACTCGGCCACCGATCCCCTTAAATATGTATGTGCCCCGGGTGAGGAAGATTAACCCAGAGTTGCCAATTTCCTTTAGTAAAATTGACTTATACGATATACTTACTTCCTCGTCTGTCAGTTCCCAGCCTGTACTTGCGCCCATGTTATCTTCAAGTTGTTTTAAAGACGTGGCTCCAATAATAACTGAACAGACGACATCTTTCTGTAGAAGCCAGCGGAGTGATACTTGTGGGACCGTTTTACCTTTGAAGGAAAACAATTTCATAGATTACTAAAATTCAATCAAGAATGAAATGTCGCTTATTTAAATAATGAAATAAATAAATGTTTCATCTCAGACTTGTTGAAAAAAATATATTTAAATAATTAAAGCAACATATAATGTAAAAAGTACAGTAATGGTTTACAAGTATGACTGATTCAAAAACATATATTCTACTACATGTATTTATATAATTAAATATAAATACATAGATTAACAAAGGAAAGCTGCGTCCGGATGGACCCCCCCCCCCCGGACATCATATAACTATAAAGGACCACCAGAAAAGCGCCCTTGTAAGGCACATTCTTCTTTAATAAGAAATGTAATGACTTATATTGAACATACAAGTGGAGTATCTAAGAATGAGATCAATGATCATGATTGATAAAATGATAGCTGAAAATTTTATTGAACCCGAGCTTTTTATATTGATTTTAAAAGAAAACTGCTTACACAAAAAACTTTCTGGACAATAATGGCTATAAACAAAATCTACCAGGTTTACATATAAATCATCAGTTACATATGTATAAGGCTCCAGGTACCCTTCAGTACTTACTATATTTTAACTTTCTGAAAATCATTGTGTACTTTTATGTACACTTTACTGTGATATTGTAAGCTGCACTTTTTGATATTTTACTACTTTACTATCCTTACTATGAGTTTTAGCAATATCTTTCATGGCGTCCATTAGTTTCCAGTAATTATCATCATCGTTATATTGACTCCAAGCTGGCGCAGCTTGCATGGCTTTAGACTCGTCTTGGTGAACAAATCCAATTCTACTTCCTTTTGCGTCTGGTGTTTTGTTTCTCTCAAATTTCCCGGTTAAAAGTCCACTGTTGAAAAGTGAAAATATTAAACGTTTTCTTTCTTTTATATCATAATTTGGGTCATCTCTATACATAATCATTTAAAATTTCTAAGGAACAGTTTTATTTGTTTCCCCTGTTTAAGAATACAATTGTTTATATCGAGAATCAGGTTATTCATACATACCCTTTCAAAGGACTCCATGGCAACACGCCTATTCCTTCGTTTGCACAAACCATAAACTCCTCGAACTCGGACTGACGTGCAAGTAGATTGTATTGTTGCTGAAAAATAAATTTAGATATATGAATATGAGCCGCGTCACGACAAAACCAACATAGTGCGTTTGCGACCAGCATGGATTCACATTGCAGAAACGTCTGTAGTTCATTGGTTACATGTTATAAGAATTTTTATGTTTGACTATGATACAAAAAAGAAAGAGGGCAATCTGATTAATACACGGGGCTAGAGAAAAATATTAAATTACTTAATAAATTGACAGCAGTCAAGTACATGTATATATTTTATATAAACATCACGATTATTCAACGTTAAATCGATAAATAAATGACAAAATGAAACAGTCATTTTACGTAAATTTACAAATTTGCGGAAGACAAGAGTTTCGGCAAAGCTTTATCACTCGTACTGTGAGTGACATATTGTGTTTGATATGAGTTTTATTTCGCAGATGAAGTCCATCAATGTGATCTCCAAATATAAATCTTTATTAGATCCAATCAGTTATGTGTCGTTTTCAATTTCCGAGTCCACAAAATTCAGAGTCATTTTCAGAGTCCCAAATATCTATATCAATTCCTTTCTAAAAATACCAAAGTTCTGTCAAAATGTCAGGAAAATATTATGGATGAAACTGCACGTTTGTAGCATTGCTTTTAACTGAATAATCGTGATGTTTATATAAAATATAAACTTGACTGCTGTCAATTTATTCTAATTTAGTATTTTTCTCTAGCCCCCGCGTATAAATCAGATTGCCCTCTTTCTCTTTTGTATCATAGTCAAACATAAAAAGACGTTCCCTGTTGTCACAATATGAATAAAAAAAGAAACCAATGAACGAGCATCTGAACATGATTTTTCTATCTCTTTCCCTTTCTCTGCCGTCGCAATAAGTAAACCCCAGCAAAAATGAGCCAATCATTGGGCATGCTCTGGAGTGCGGGTAACTAATACCTGCACTTCAGTTAACGCACTGTGCATGCATATGTATGCAATTTCTATCTGACAAATTTTCAACAGAAAGGTTCCCAGACTATGATACAAACATAGGGTAAAACAGGGTACACTATCGACGCGTCTATTTTTAATGCAAACAGTTCTAATTTTCTTTCATGTGTAATTTATAATTGTTTATTACCTGAAGTGATACACATGAGTTTAGACCCATCGTGTCAATTCTATCAACAATTTTCTGTAGTTGCCATCCGCAGACGTTACTGACACCAAAATATCGTATTTTCCCGCATCTCACGAGATCGTCAAATGTCCTCAGCGTCTCTTCAACCGGGGTAGCATTATCCCAAGCATGTGACTATAAAAAGAACGTTTTTCTTCACAATTGATACACAACTATATAAATATTGTCTGTAAAATAATGCTTTATTTTTGTTTGGCTAATCCCAATGACAACTAAGGTATAAAAATATTATTTTTTCTTATGACAATCATGCCTAAGTATGATAAGTTTTCATGCATAAAGATACCTTGATAAGGTTTATAAAATATGTTATTAAAACATACAGAGGGCTAATAATACCTGTAACAGGTCGATATAATTAGTTTGAAGTCTTTCCAAACTTTCTTCACAACTTTCAACTATATGTCGTCTGCTCAAACCAACTTTGTTTACATTTGAACGATCAACATGGAAACGACATTTCGTTGCAAGGACAACGCTACTCCGATCTTTTCTGAAACAAAATTAAATTATACAGCAATGGTTGATGAATTCAATCGAATCCTCTCTTAGTAAACACTATGAACTGTAAAAGTGCACTTGATAAATCAATCTGAAAACTCATAGCAAAATATACCATTATGTTAGGTAAATACCACCTTTTAAAAACAGCTATTATTAATTAATTACAGAATAAATGTAACCGTTCTTACTTCTTCAGCCAGTTGCCAACCACCCGCTCCGACGCACCAAGACCATAAACATTAGCAGTGTCTAGGAAATTACCTCCTAGTTCAAAATATCTGTCCATCAATTTGTGTGACATTTCTTCATTCAGTTGGGTTGGAATGGGCATCACCTAACACATAGATGTAAATGATAACAGTTCTCACAAACATGATTTTCAAAGAGATGTTGAATATCATAACTAAAACGCCATCTGTCTAGCTAGTGTGTGCATTGTGCAGTTTCTTTAGTCAGGCTTTCGCCTACTCCTATAAACTTTTAGTTACTTACATCGTGAAAATGACAAATATTGCAAAAATAACAATACAGAATTAAAATGTTGAGCTTGTGCTTTAACATGACATTAAGATCATTTTATTATTTTTAATTGTAGAAATATCATAAATATAGACATTGAGCTTAATAATAAAATGTATCGGATATAAAAATCCATATAAAGGGAAGTAACTTGAAAAAACAAAGAGTATCTTCCTCGCAAAAGTTACACTTTATATACATTTTAATATATTTGTAGAGATTTAGAAGTTACTGAAAATTGCAAATGTTAGTATACATAATTCAAGAACTGCAAAGCGGAGTTTTTTCTTTGTTTCTTTTTTCTCTTTCCTTTTTAGCTCGACTATTCGATAAGAATAAGTAGAGCTATTGCAGTCACCCGAGCGTCGGCGTCGGCGTCTGCGTCCGCGTCGGCGTAACCACTTATGTTAAAGTTTTTGTACTAGTTCAAATATTTTCAAAGTCCATTGACATATGGCTTTGAAACTTTGCACACTTGTTCACCATCATGACCCCAACCTGTAGACAGGAGGAGGAAACTCTATCAAGCATTTTAACAGAATTATGCCCCTTTTTCGACTTAGAATTTATGTTAAAGTTTTTGTAATAGTTCAAATATTTTCAAAGTCCATTGACTTATGGCTTTGAAACTTTGCACACTTGTTCACCATCATGACCCCAACCTGTAGACAGGAGGAGGGAACTGTATCAAGCATTTTGACAGAATTATGCCCCTTTTTCGACTTAGAATTTATGTTAAAGTTTTTGTAATAGTTCAAATATTTTCAAAGTCCATTGACTCATGGCTTTGAAACTTTGCACACTTGTTCACCATCATGACCCCAACCTGTAAACAGGAGGAGGTAACTGTATCAAGCATTTTTTTTACTATCAAGCACTCAGAATAGTCGAGCGTTGCTGTCCTACCGACAGCTCTTGTTTTCTTTCTTATCCTTTTTCTTTTGCTGCCATGCGACTGATGTCAACATTTAAACAAAGTATCATATCAATATAAGAAACATCACTTACCCCGTCACCAAATGTCATAGTGCCCAAACACAGGTTCGAGACCTGGACGCCCGACTTGCCGAGGTAATTGTATGCTACTTTCGCTTCAGTCATGATTTATGTTCTTTTTTTCTGTAAATTAGTGTAAATTACATAAAAGTAGAACTAATGTGTTGTACCCAATACATCTATTACATTAAAAATGACATTTTATCTAGTATTCACAAACTAGGTTACTCGTGATAACCTGCATGATGATATAAATATTACGGCGTACCGTTGGGGTCATCGTGTCCTCTAATCGACGACATCGTTTCTTCTCATCATGGGCGACCTCTGATTTATCTAGAACGCTAAAGTGACGAGGTTAAATACTTAGCGATTGTGGTATGTCCCCGTTTATAAGATCAATCATAGACACGTATTTTATGATTATCATGGACATTTCTTTCCTTTTAGCTTAACCTGCTGATTTGTAATGGACGTGTCCAGCCTCCATTTTTATTAAGTTTAGGGATATCAAGAAATTATATAGTCAGTCAAAAGCCTGGTCAGACTAAGCGAACGTGGGGCTGGCCTGTCTTTGAGCTAGTGGCTAAGGCTAATCAATACCTGTTGCAGCATGAAAATTGTTGAGGTTCTAAAAGATACATTTTAATTCGTGACATATACTTAACTTTCGGTAGTCAAATGACACTAGATAATATCGAAAAATGTATGATTCGTGATTACCTTTCATAAATATTTACTTTCTTAATTTATATAAGTGTCAGCATGCCTTTCACCATGACGTCAGTGGTCAAAGCGATCGTCTGATATATTATTCATAACCTTCAGAGATTTAAAGTAGTGTTCATCATAAGCAATATTAGCATAAAGCTAATTGTACACCGTATGATATGTCTTAAATAATTATAAAAATAGAAGATGAAAAAACAACATTTTATTCCTTTTTAGTTTATTACTTTTAGATCAAAATCATGCAGTACATGTACATATATGCTTGTATTATATATATTTTTCTTTTTTTTTGTCATTTCCAGTACGCTAGTGTGGAAGATTGAATACCGCTTAAACCGGTGTTAGGGTAGGTGAGAGATGTTACATTTTTTTATATTCTTTCATAACAGACTCAATCAAACCGAGACTGCAATTTTCATATAATATTATTGTTTCAATACTTCTGAGATATCTACGGAAGAGCATTAGTGCCAGGTGTATGTTTTTTATTAACTCGAAATTTCGAGTTACTAACTCGAAATTTCGACTTACTATCTCGAAATTTCGACTTACTAACTCGAAATTTCGACTTACTAACTCGAAATTTCGAGTTACTTATCTCGAAATTTCGAGTTACTAACTCGAAATTTCGACTTAGTAACTCGAAATTTCGACTTAGTAACTCGAAATTTCGACTTACATTGCACGACTTTCATTGGTTGCCGGTGAAAGCAAGGATTGAATTCAAGATACTTTCTTTCGTGTGTAGTTGTTGCACATTGACAGAGCACCTTTAACATTTATTTAACAGAACATTTTATAGGGTCAAATTGTCCACACACATACTGAACATATCCTTCGCTTTTTGTGGAGGGGGGGGTGTAAAATCACACTTTCCACATTTCCGTGTTAACAGGGTGTTTCTTTTTATTAAGCACACATACAACCATCATATGGAGAAACAACAAGTCCAAAACCCACCCTATTGTAAACTGTGCAATATCATGTGTTAAATAAGTTTTAAATGACGTGTATAGGCCAGTTAGTCTGTCACGTTTCTTTATACTAATAATGTTTTTGTAACATTATTCATTATTTACTAATACTTGATTTCATATTGTGTTGATTAAAAGTTGATAAAGTGATACTTGTTATAATATATATGTTGGAACAATATAAAAGCATCCGATTTTACAAGAAATATAGTCAGTCCAACAATTTTGACACAAAGGCCTCAGCACTCCCTATTTTGGCCACGCCGCGGATACTTTCCTCAGATGTCCGCTCACGTAAAGTATAGATCGGTTTTTTTACAGGGATGAGAAGGAATATGATTTTAGTGAAAAGATATGTTCGAACAGATGAATACAATACAACGTTGAAGAACGCCTGAACGTACAAAATTAAAGGAAGCTTGTATTTTTTTTCGGGTGTGTATATGCATTATAAGTTTAAGTTAAAATTTCAAAAGTTTTTGTCCAGGCAAACCCGTTTTCTCCATCTCCATCTTCAAACACTGTACATTCTTAACATCTAAAAATAACTTTGGCCATTCTTTAATTGTTAATAAGTCGAAATTTCGAGTTACTAAGTCGAAATTTCGAGATAAGTAACTCGAAATTTCGAGTTAGTAAGTCGAAATTTCGAGTTACTAAGTCGAAATTTCGGGTTAGTAAGTCGAAATTTCGAGTTAGTAACTCGAAATTTCGAGTTAGTAAGTCGAAATTTCGAGTTAGTAACTCGAAATTTCGAGATAAGTAACTCGAAATTTCGAGTTAATAAGTCGAAATTTCGAGTTAGTAACTCGAAATTTCGAGATAAGTAACTCGAAATTTCGAGTTAGTAACTCGAAATTTCGAGTTAATAAAAAACATACACCTGGCACTAATGCTCTTCCGTAGATATCGCCCTTTTACATGTCTTTTTACGTCGTTTTTTTTATAATCTGCAACTTTTTCTGGACTACAGTCCTTTTTGGGGTGCCAAATGGACATCAAATCATGGTATGAACTCTTGGTGCTGAGATAGTTAGCTAGTATTCATTATTAAATTAAAAAACGAATGCCCTTCTGGTAGTCGTGTTATAATCATTAGAATACCGCAAACTTAATGTATCATTAAGATTTCACTACAAAGATGGAAATGGCTCCATTCAAGGAGAATAAACAAAGGAGGTAACGTGCGTCTCGCTTAAAATTACAAGAATATCCACCTAAATACCGTGTCTGTAATTTCATATAATTTTGTTGTGATTAATGCTTCCGAATGATTACACTTTCACCAGATTTTCGTCTTCTTCATTCGTAATAACAAAACATAATACAAAGTATATTATGTAAACAAATATCATGTTTTGTTGCACATTATTTCCGACACTGTTATCTTTGAATTGAGTTCGGTTGAGTGGATTCAGCTCCTGGTCCCCATATTGTACGCATCGTATGGATACATTGTTACTTTCGGACTGACGTCATCGAGCCGTGACATCTGCAAGATGTGTAATATACAGCATTCATTATAGTCAAAGCGTTTTTATGGTACGAGTATTACTTATTTAAATATTATTATATTTTAATGTACATAAAAAACACATCATAAAAACTGAGCAGACGACATTTGAAATAAACCCGTCATATGTCTTCTATGATCAAAAATATCAAGTTCTAAAATCATAATATATAACCCTACTGATTGTTCTGTAATGGAAATGATTTAGAATTTAACAACATTTCATGGAAAAAAATGTTGTTTTTTCAACTTTTAAATATCTTAAGATTTCTAAATGTTTGCTTATCCCGTATTTTACAGACTTTGTTTCTGCCGACTGCTAATGGGTTTTAAAACTAACAGACATTTATTATTCCATTCTAGAAAAAAAATCGCTTTATCGACATTAAACACACTTACCTCCTCGTCTGTCAGTGCCCATCCTGTACTTGCGCCCATATTATCTTCAAGTTGTTTTAAAGACGTAGCTCCAATAATAACTGAACAGACGACATCTTTCTGTAGAAGCCAGCGGAGTGATACCTGAGGGACCGTTTTACCTGTCAGAAATAAACAACATGCTTATAGGAAGACGCTTTCTATTAAAGTGACGTTTTACTCCCAGAAAATACTCGTAAACTTAACGTGACGTCCTTGGACGTTGTTCAGAAAAACGTCACACATAGTCATTGTAATGAGTTTTTTAACTATGTAACACTATACTTTATATACTAACCATGTTCTTTAGCTATATCTTTTAAGGCGTCCATAAGCTTCCAGTAGTTACCATCATCGTTATATTTACTCCATGCTGGCACGCATTGCATTGCTTTAGACTCGTCTTGATGGATAAATCCAATTCTACTTCCTTTTGCGTCTGGTGTTTTGTTTTCCTCAAATTTCCCGGTTAGAAGTCCGCTGTAAAGGTTAAATAAAATGTAGGTGACAATATAGAGAACATGTCAAGAAAGGAAATGACAATTGAAAAACTTTGTTGCTAATGATTCTGTATTTTAAATATAAAATTTGATAAACAAGTCACCCTTTTAATGGACTCCAGGGTAAGACTCCAATGCCTTCGTTTTCACACACCATGAATTCTTCAAACTCAGATTGCCGCGCAAGTAGATTATATTGTTGCTGAAAGAAGAAAAGGCACGCACGTTGATAAATCATAAATTAGTAAAGTGACTCAAGCTTATCAATATATCATAATTAATTAATAAAGTGACATTCAAATCAACTGATTCAGAATGATAATAATCATAGCGATGACTTTTTGATCATTTTTCCGTTCCCTCATTGCAAGTTGATTTTTTTTTTGCTTGGGTTTACGTCGCACCAGTGCAGTATTAAGTCATATGGCGCATATGGCGATTTTCCAATTTTACTGGTGGCGGAAGACATCAGGTGCCCTTCGTACATTTATTGCAAGCACGAACGAGCACCAGAGTAGAAATACCGACGTTCCGTAAGCTAGCTGTATCGCTTCCTCACGAGAAAGAATTCAAAGTCCTTGTGGGGACTTTACCATACGGCCATAGACCCCTCCCCCACTAATTACTAGAGTAAACTAACAGAGAGATTTAATTCCATGTAATTTTTTACAAATAAATATTTATTACTTGAAGTGTAACACATGAATTTAGTCCCATCATCTCAATTTTGTCGACAATTTTCTGCAGTCGCCATCCGCATAAATTACAAGCACCAAAATATCGTATTTTCCCGCATCTCACGAGATCGTCAAATGTTCTCAGCGTCTCTTCTATTGGAGTGGCATTATCCCACGCATGTGACTGTAAAGATAGGCAATAATTTAAATATTAATTGCAGTTTTAAATGAAATTTTATTGCATTTATTTGTACTTGATCATTTTTATTTTTATATTTAGATTTACTCGTATGTGTATGTTAATTCATCACAAATAGTGAGATTTGAAGTGCAAATGGGATCTTAGGTACCTTGCCATTTCCAGTAACGTCCACGAATAGGCTCAATCAAACCGAACATGCACACTTTTAGATTTCCCGCGTTGGACATTCTTTAGGGAATTTTTCTTCCTGTCTTTAATGAGTTTAATGCATAAAATAAATATTGCTCTAGATGTTCTTCGATTTAAACATGAAAATCCTTTGAAGATTAATCATTCAAACATAGATTTATATATAGATGTATATAAAATATGTTGAGTAAACCTGATAAAGATCTATGTAGTCTGTTTTTAGTCTTTCTAGACTTTCTTCGCAGCTTTTAACAATATGACGTCTGGTCAGGCCAACTCTGTTGACATTACTAAAGTCTGTTTGATATCTTACTTTTGTTGCAAGAATGAAATTACTGCGGTTATTCCTGAAACAGAAATCGTAAAAGAATTTAACAAAGTGAAATAGGGCATTACAATGCTCACTGATTCATTGTAGTACAAATAGGTCCTAAACGCCTTAAACAAATGAACATCTGAAATTACATTTCACATTTTCTGAGTTAAATCGATATATAATTCTATTATCCCTTTCCAATCGTATACTAGTGAAATGAGTACAATCTATATAGATTTACTTTGACAATGTGGGAGATTTCTATTTAGATAGGTATCAAAAGACGCCTCTGTCCTTTTTAAGGTACTAGTCAATGTCAAGGCAATTTCATCTGAATCATATTCAAACGTTCTTTGAAGTCTATCCAAAACGGTCAAGTTTTCGTAGTCTGACACAAATAATGCTTCCCCTGACTAATAATTGACGATATTGCTGATTTGAGTTATAGATATGATAAATTACACCATTCTGCCTTGACCTTTACATATTATCAAGTTTATTACTTTTTAAGCCAACTGCCAACTACCCGCTCCGACGCACCGAAACCATACATATCAGCGGTGTCCAGGAAATTACCTCCTAGTTCAGAATATCTGTCCATCAATTTGTGTGACATTTCCTCATTTAGCTGGGTTGGAATCGGCATCATCTAAAGACATAGATGTAAAAATAAAATGAAAACATAGCTCAACAAGGAAACCGAACACATTGTTTCACATTCAGCGCTTCTAATTTCCGGCGTAAAAAAACATATACGTTAACTGCACTATAACAATACTAAACACTTGTTAGCCCATTGTTAGTCCCTTTCTGAGGCATATTGTGCCTTAAAGCAGCTTCCCTCTGTTAATTTAGCGCAACTTTCTTCAGTTTTAAAACATCCAATATGCTCTTTATTTATCCATTATCAAATCATTGTTAAACACATGATTGACTTTCTAAAGAATTAAAATATATACGAATTTCTGAGGTGAAATGTGCTATATTTTCATTTAACTTAGTACAAAATGACTATTTTCATCAAAAACAACAAAATGTATATAAAGGGGGTAACTTGTAAAAAATAGAAAATCTTTTACTTCTTCACACATTATAATTTTTACTTTATGAAACGAAATCACAATATATTTAGATTCCGGATAATACGTTAAACTAAAACAAAAGATACTTTACAGTGCATGCACGGTGTGTAATCATGTAGTTTAATATTCTTAAAAGGTGTAAATCTAATTATAATTGACAAAGTGCATTTAGAATTTAGTATTAATGTAATAAAATTAAATTATATTATATCAATACAAGAAAAATCACTTACCCCGTCGCCAAATGTCATAGTACCCAAACACAGGTTCGAGACCTTGACTCCTGACTTGCCGAGGAAATTGTACGCTACTGTCGCTTCAGTCATGATTTACACGTATGTTTATGTTTTTTTCTATAAGTTTAACTAAACATCTGATGTACTACATGTATTTACAAAAAATTATGACGCGTTTGACAATGAGTTATAAGTAAACATGTCAAGAGAGATAACTGGAACGAAATTACTATCTATTCTACACCTGGACTACATTAAAATGACATTTCCTAGTGCAACAACGATGTATAACTTAACTTAGCGTTACCATCGCCATTCATGTATCAAAACAGCCACCATATATATAGTTAGTCAGGGCCGTTCCAGATCAAATGCTATAAATATCTATGTTGCGAGTATATTTAAATTGCTCAATACATACATTCTGATTTGGGAACATACCCTAACTGATTTAAATTTGTACATACATAACCTGATGAAATATTACTTCAATGTTTTCTTGATAGCGATTGAGGTATGATTGAGTTTGACTATGTATTATCATTTATAAATACTTAACGATTTTCCTATCTTTATCCATCCCCTTGGAGGCAGTACACAGTTTCGGTCGTTTAGTTTCGAATTGGCCAGGGTCAAATTTACAAAGAAGAGACCATTTTGTAATTGAAGTGGATATTTGAACTTCTTAATATTTAAAGTTGCCATAATTCGGTATTGTGTTACATTTATCAAGTAAAATTGATTTTAGTGATGTTTGACCCATAAATGTTGGGGAGTACCTATCAGATTCGAATGTATGATCCATAAAGCTAGCTCGGAAATCAGCTCTTCAATTTAAAGGGTATGCAGAAGATTTAAAATAGTAAAAAAGCTAATTGCATGTGTCCCGTAGGGATTTATTTTCAGATAGGGCATTGTTTAAGGAGGAAGAAACACTATAGCTTGTGATTTAATTTTGGGGCGTTAATATATTTTTTGTTATTTTGCAAATAGGGTTAATCCACTCTTTTTGTCGTTGATTTTAATGACCTAAACAATGAAAAACACATGGCTATGTGCCAGAAAACTAGAAGGTGGACATGTATTTTTAATTGTTTGCTGTGAGATACATATGTATATGTTAATTATGAAATGCATTTATTTCAGGTTGTGTGATTACAGGGTTTGATTGTGACGCAGTCAGTCGTTTGCCGAGAAGCCTTGAAAACCGTGTATTATCCGCTGAAGGTGGTCAGACAAAAGCATCAGGCCCGGTCAGACTAGACTAATGTACAGGTTTGTCTGGTTCTGGCTGCTTTACTCTGGTGAATAAGGTTATCACTTTCTGTTCAAGCACGATATGGGTTCCAGTCACTTTCAGGTTTTTATATGACTGATATTTTATTGGTTCGCTATTTATAAATAATTAATTATAATAATTTGTACGAGTGTCTTACACACATTTTAACAATGAGGATGAACATCGCTAAATGTTTTATTGTTAGATATATTTGTAGTTTTTATCGAAAGATACGCGAAAAATACTCAAAAGACAGACAAAAATCTCCTTTTTTCGTGTAATATTTTGCCAGGCAATAGTACGGAAGCGTTCTGGTGCCAATTTAACATGTTCTATAAAAAAAGTTAACTCCTACGTATAATAAAAAAGCATAATTAGGAGTTTATAACTCCTCTCCTACGTATGACTTTGTAACTCCTACGTAGGAGATAAAAAAAGCCTAATTAGGAGTTTATAACTCCTACGTAGGACTTTATAACTCCTACGTAGAAGAACACTTATAAAGTCCTACGTAGAAGTTATAAACTCCTACGTTGGACTTTTAAACTCCTACGTAGGACTTTAAAACTCCTAATTAGGTTTTTTTATCTCCTACGTAGGAGTTACAAAGTCCTACGTAGGACTGATAAAGTCCTACGCAGGAGTTATAAAGTCCTACGTAGGAGTTTGTAAGTCCTACGTAGGACTTTAAAACTCCTAATTAGCTTTTTTTATCTTCTACGTAGGAGTTATAAAGTCCTACGTAGGAGTTAAAAAGTCCTACGTAGGAGTTATCTTTTTTTATAGAACATGTTAAATTGGCACCAGGACGCTTCCGTATCCTGGTGCCAATTTACAAGTTCTATAAAAAGAGATAACTCCTACGTAGGACTTTGTAACTCCTACGTAGGACTTTATAACTCCTACGTAGGAGATAAAAAAAGCCTAATTAGGAGTTTATTACTCCTATGTAGGACTTTGTTAGTCCTACGTAGGACTTTATTAGTCGTACGTAGGAGTTATAAACTCCTAATTAGTCTTTTCAACTCCTACGTAGGAGTTTTAAAGTCCTACATAGGACTTACAAACTCCTACGTAGGACTTTATAACTCCTACGTAGGAGTTAAAAAAGCCTAATTAGGAGTTTATAACTCCTACGTAGGACTTTATAAGTCCTACGTAGGACTTTATAACTCATACGTAGGACTTTATAACTCCTACGTAGGAGATAAAAAACCTAATTAGGAGTTTTAAAGTCCTACGTAGGAGTTTAAAAGTCCTACGTAGGAGTTTATAACTCCTACGTAGGACTTTTTAAGTGTTCTTCTACGTAGGAGTTATAAAGTCCTACTTAGGAGTTATAAACTCCTAATTAGGCTTTTTTATCTCCTATGTAGGAATTACAAAGTCCTACGTAGGACTTACAAAGTCCTACGTTGGAGTTAAAAAGTCCTACGTAGGAGTTATAAAGTCCAACGTAGGAGTTATAAAGTCCTACGTAGGAGTTACTAAGTCCTACGTATAGGAGTTAAAAAGTCCTACGTAGGAGTTTTAAACTCCTAATTAGGCTTTTTTATCTCCTACGTAGGACTTATAAAGTCCTACGTAGGAGTTACAATGTCCTACGTAGGAGTTTAAAAGTCCTACGTCCTACGTCGGAGTTTTAAACTCCTAATTAGGCTTTTTTATCTCCTACGTAGGACTTATAAAGTCCTACGTAGGAGTTACAATGTCCTACGTAGGAGTTTAAAAGTCCTACGTCCTACGTCGGAGTTATAAACTCCTAATTAGGCTTTTTTTATCTCCTACGTAGGAGTTATTTTTTTTATAGAACATGTTAAATTTGCACCATGACGCTTCCGTAACTATATGAGAACAGATGCGCAGACGTTTTTAATTTAGATCACAATTTTCTCCATACTATTATTGATGAGCAAAAATGATACTATACTTGATGCTGATGATTCTTGTGCATAAGTAAGGACCTAAACGTTTTATCCAAAATAAGTTGAAGATTGTAAAAGAAAGTAAACCAGGACCCTTTCTATGAGATACAGATTAATCTTCGAGGCTGCTTGAATGTTCCTGGTTTTGAAAAAGTTAATTTCAGGAAGACGGCAAACGTCATATCAACAATAATTTTCATTCACGATCTTCAACTAAGTCTGGACAAAAGTATTTTTGAAAAAGTGGTTAGAATTATTGAACAATGAAGTCAAGTCCTGATAGAAATAAAAAGAATTCCAGAACACACATTGAATTCTTTTATTTTCTTTTCTCTACAACGACGGAGGTGGTTAAAAACACACGAGTCTACATTTGTTGGCTAATACAGGAGCATAAAACTTCTGATATTCTTTGTTATAACAGAACATAATGAAAAATGTATTATGCGAACTCCTGGACACCGCCATCTATATTGTATTAGAACTGTTGAAAGGATTTATCCGGACGGCACCAGGACGCCATATTGTATCGTAGGGATACATATTTACCCTCGGACTGGCCTTATCAAGCCGTGACATCTGAAATAACGTATAATACATGTTGTAAATATCTAATAAAGTATCAGATGTATTCCAAACGTTTATATGGTAAAGATATTATTTATGTAAAGTATATTTAAATGTATACAAACTCTAAAGGAGCATTCTAAAATTATAAATTATTAACAGCTCATCATTTATCATGTTTTAATCAAATGCCGTCTTCTTTTCAAAATAATATCATATTACAGTATATATATCGATAGAAGTCTGGTAATAATATACATGTAGTAACATGACACATCTGATTGCTGTACAATGGCGACCATTTTGAGTAAATACAAAGTTTTAGAATAGGTGTTATCCGGAACTCGGCAAATATGGTGTTTCCCCAGCTAATGTCCCGGTATAAAAAAGCTTTTACCGTTCTAGTTGCACACTGCACTACCGGTCACAATAGATTAGTCAACATGCTACGCTTATTTTTGAAGCTGTAACAGTTTCTGTAAAAGTTTGTTTGCACCCCTGGATAAGCTGGGGAAACCCCCAAAATATTCTTAATTACGAAGTAAGTTAACATTTCTGTTCTAGAATAATCGCTTTATCGGCTTTAAACGGACTCACCTCTTCGTCTGTCAGTGCCCATCCTGTACTTGCGCCCATATTATCTTCAAGTTGTTTTAAAGACGTGGCTCCAATAATAACTGAACAGACGACATCTTTCTGTAGAAGCCAGCGGAGTGACACTTGAGGGACCGTTTTACCTATCAAATATAAACACTATAGTCATAAGTAGATATTTTTGTAAAGAGTTATCAATAAATCGTTGTCCTTTAGAGTTTATCCTTTAAAAATAAAACAGGAAACCGAATATCTTACAGTTAAAAGTCACATAACGCCACTTAAGCTGATAATTTAAAACAAAGTAAGATTTAAACTTTTAAACCTACCATGAGTTTTAGCAATATCTTTCATGGCGTCCATCATCTTCCAGTAATTATCATCATCATTATATTTACTCCATGCTGGCGCAGCTTGCATGGCTTTAGACTCGTCTTGATGAACAAATCCAATTCTACTTCCTTTTGCGTCTGGTGTTTTGTTTCTCTCGAATTTCCCGGTTAAAAGTCCACTGCAAAAAAAAGTGAAAGTTGTAGATGACATTATAGTACACCAGTTCATCCAAGGAATTTGAAAGCAGATATTTTGTAGGTCAAATTCTGAACTTACAAAAAAAACAATTTAAAACAACAAATGAGTAGTCACCCTTTTAATGGACTCCAGGGTAAGACTCCAATGCCTTCGTTTGCACACACCATAAATTCTTCATACTCAGATTGCCGCGCAAGTAGGTTATATTGTTGCTGAAAGAAGAAAAGGCATGCACGTTGATAAATCATAAATAAATGAAGTGACGTTCAAACCAACTGATTCAGATTATGGTAATAATAATTTTGGCAATTTGTTTTTATTTTTCAGTTCCCTAAATACACTTACACAATATAAGAGTGTAAACAAACAATAGATACATTTAATTTCATATATATTTTATACCTGAAGTGTAGCACATGAATTGAGGCCCATCATCTCAATTTTATCGGCAATTTTTTGAAGCTGCCATCCGCAGACGTTACAAACACCAAAATATCGTATTTTCCCGCATCTCACGAGATCGTCAAATGTCCTCAGCGTCTCTTCGATCGGAGTGCCATTATCCCAAGCATGCGACTGTATACAGTTGAAAAAAATATAAAATTGAAGTTTTAAATGAAACTCTGTTGCATAAATAGGTAACTGATAATTTGATAAATGTTCAAATTTATGTTTACTTAAATAGCCTTCATAAAAAATGAGGTATTAATTAATATACAAATGGTAGCATACTTTAGTAAAGAAGGTACATTTTACAAAATGATATACATGTATTATTTATTTCAAAACTATTTTGACCCGAACCTGGTATAGATCTATGTAGTCTGTTTGCAGTCGTTCCAGGCTTCCTTCGCAGCTTTCAACAATATGTCGTCTGCTTAAGCCAACTTTGTTTACGTTTTTAAAATCAGTCTGATATCTCACTTTTGTTGCGAGGACAAATTTACTGCGATTGCTTCTATAAAAGGAAATCGTGAATGATATTCAACAAATTAAAAAAGGCAAAACCAAACTCAATGACTCATTCTTAATGTACTTGTAGCACAAACAGGTTTTTGGTGCATTACAAGAAAATGTTCCTGTCAAAATTATTTAGTACACTATCTGCGGAAAATGCTCCATTGAATTTACAATCCCTTTTCAATAGAAGTGCAAATTAAAGTGGTTCGTTACTCTCGTTTCTCATTATATAGTTGTCTAAGGATAAACCTCTGTACGTTTTAGGTACAAGTCATTATCACTGCAATTTCAGTATCTGGAAAGGTTATCGCAAAGTAACTGATAAATATGTTAGCCAACATCAAACTTCCAAGATGTTTTCCTTTGTTTTACATTGTTTTAACTTTTTGAGGTGTACTCCAAAGATGTCAAAGTCTGATAATCAATGTTCCACTAAGATTTAACTTAAAGGGTTACTGTTCTAAAGAAGATAGTAATGAGATACTTAAATAAATCTCATCATTCTACTTTGACTTTACACATCATAAAGGTCTTACTTTTTAAGCCAACTGCCAACCACCCGCTCCGACGCACCGATACCATACATATCAGCGGTGTCTAGGAAATTACCTCCTAGTTCAGAATATCTGTCCATCAATTTGTGTGACATTTCTTCATTGAGCTGGGTTGGAACTGGCATTACCTTTCAACAGATGCATTAAATTGTAATTATAATTCATAATGTTGTCCTATAATCTTATAATATATATCTTCATTTTTTCTAATTGAAATGTGTCATTATACATTTATATCACCAGTTGTATTTTCTTAAAATTATTGTAAGTAGCGATCCATCGTTAGCACTGACAACAAAAGCAACTCATACTTATGTGTATCTTTAATTACATATACCTATGAGTATTTTTTAATTACAAGTTACAACTTAAATTTTTTCGTGTATTTCATTCTTTTTAAATGATATTTATTTCAAATTAAACCTAAGGTAAGATCATGATTTAATGACTGATTTTAGTATATTTATAGTAACACTTACGCCGTCTCCGAACGTCATGGTACCAAGGCATAGATTTGAAACTCGAACTCCTGTCTTACCGAGGTAATTATATTCAACAGCTATTTCCTTCGCCATTGTGTACGTTGACTTTAGAAACTTTTGCCTACCTTATTATTAAACTTTTATGATACAACCTCTATTCTTTTATATTTTAAACGTCTTGTAATGGTAAGTAATGTTTACGATTTCACTGTAGAAACAAAAGAATTTAAGGTCATAAAATGTCAGATAAAGTTGAATAAACTTTTGCTCAATAACCATGTAGTATCCCAATGTTCCATTTTATTTAACCTAACGTATTTCACCCGTCCCCCTTTATTTGTGATAACACTGGCAAATAAACAGTACATTGATTAATTATCGATTTAAAGGAACTCCACTGAGGTCTAAAGCCTAGAAACATAAAATTTAATTATTTACATAGATAAGCTGGGGCACTGAAAACAGAAAGATATGCAAAAGATAATTAAGAAATATATTTAGAAATTCACTGATAATCATTCTCATCAAATTTTAGTGAAAGCCGTTGCAACGCTTTCCAATTTAGTATATTCTAATTATGTAACTAATAACCATTCTAGAAAAAGGAGTGAGCAAATGATCTGAAATTTTGCACACAATCTAATAGTCTATTCTCACATCTATAATCTATGGAATATAATCTCGAAATAAATAATTTCTTTCTCGTCATGTTATGAAACCTCGGTTAAGTTATTGGATTTCACAAATTTTGAAGGAACAGAATAAAACAGCCTCTTCGAAATTTAATCCAATTTGTTTGCAATACATAATTAGTCCATTCAAATCACAAATTACTTTATACTCTACCTTATGAAAGTATTTTAGTACTTGTATATTTTAACATAAATATAAATGAAAATGGAAAAAGGAAAAGAAAAGGAAAAACAGCGGTGTTAATTTATTCTAAAAAAACATATACTTAGCTGAAAATAATTGAATGATTACACATAATTGATTTTTTTGTAGATAATGAAACACATAATGACCTGAAAATGTAGAAATGCAGTGTCACAAATATTACAAGATATTATAACAATAGATTTTTATTTATCAAACAAGTTACTGTACACAAAGTCAGATGGTGATATTTATTGTAACTTCTATTTATCAACTATAAACACGCATTACGTATAAATGTAGAGCAGAAAATTAATGATACATGAATCTGTTTTAAAGTTTCTTCAGTAAAAAAAATATTTCCTATCTTAAAGTACTGATTTTATATGAAGCGTACATTAAAACATAGAAGTATTTATTGTTTGAATTTTGAAAAAAAAAATAGAAAACCAAAATACCTTTATACCAAAGAAAAATGTTTGTATATTTCCGTTGGAACAAATGGTGCATGCGTGATATCTTTGCCCACCATAATTAATATAGCAGCAAAATACGATATATTGTTCCGGGTCATTATTTTTTTACTATGCTTTGTTTTTAATCTTCTAAGAATCAACCAAACGATAATTGTAACAACAAAATTTAAACGTTTATGAATTGCATTCCACTAGATAGAGCTATATATCCTTTGAAATAATAAAAATAGTAATAGTAAAGAAGGGCATCATTCGTACCGTAAGTAATTGTCCATTAGCTATAAAAATGTTCGCTATAACCATGTTCGCTATAATAGTGTTCGCTATAACCATGTTCGTTATAACAATGTTCGCTATATTCATTTTCGCTATAACAGAGTTCGCTATATCCATGTTCGCTATAAAGTGCAGTGAAGTTTACTGCATGATGTTGAGAAGGTTAGTCAACATTTATACATGTTAAAGTTTATGTTATATAAACATGATGTTGTTGAGTACATAATCAGACATATCGATACTGATGCTATATTTATTATGGTGTAAACTCAATGATCAGTTGAAACTATATAATGTCGAAGTTTGAATTAACGTCCTATATACACCGAATACTCTTCAGTTAGAAGATATTTCTCCTTTAGGTTTGCCTACATTATTTACATAAACATGAACACGATTAAAGAAATTTAAAATCAAAAGTAACAGTGAAGAAAAATATTTTTTGTTAGTTCTAGATAAGACAATAGTTGAAAATCAACTACAATACACTCAGCCTGGTACTTTTCAAGCGAAGAAATAAAAGGAAAAACATTCTAGACCAATACATTTCTGGAGGATCTTTAAGATTTCCATGTACGCTAGCTAAAAAAGTAAATTTCTAATTTTAACCGAAATAACAATGAATACAGAAAGTGACAAAGCACGACATATAGTACTGATTGTTTTCAAACTTAAAAACAAACATGTTCACATATTTCTTTTATTTCGATAATACCCATACAAGTAAACTATAACACTTAGAAAACCAACAACCGTTTCTTTCATTTACAAGTATTTTATCAATATGATTGAACAAAAAAGAAACTTCCCCTGTATGTAAGTGCAGATATACACAAATTATTGAAAATCATGACGAAAGTAGATCTTATATGTATCGAAAGAAGTATTTATATTGCGATTTTTTGTGAAAAAAAATCACTTGCTGAGAGGTTTATCAAAATGGTATTAAAATGCAGAAGGGGTCGCCCAACAAAAATCATAAATTAAATATCGGGTATGACCCTTCGGCATGAAGGACTGTCTGGCATCGTAGGCAATCGTTCTTTTGACATTTGGAAATCTATACAATTCACAATGAAAGTTTCATAGAATATACACGATGTACTGGGTTCCCGTGCATTGCAACACTATTTCTCCACTGAAACACGGGGAAATTTTACATCTTTTCTTTTTTGTTCAGTATATATTTCCTTCCTATTGCTCTGTTTCTCACAAGTTCTAAATGAGCCGCGTCACGACAAAAACACATAAGGATTTTGCGACCAGCATGGATCCAGACCAGCCTGCGCATCCGCGCGGCAGTCTGATCAGGATCCATTCGCTGTTCGCATCAGATTTCTCTACTTGATTATAGGGTTTGTAAGCGAACAGCATGGATCCTGATCAGACTGCGCGGAATGCGCAGGCTGGTCTGGATCCATGCGTGGTCGCAAACCCATTATGCTGGTTTGTCGTGACGCGGCTCAATATATTTTGTCTTCCACCTCGTGTTTTACATCTAAATAATTTCCTTAAATATAATTCTGTATGTGCCTTAATCTCGGGGATTCTTGAAGGCATAATGACCAGGATCACAATCGTGTTTACTACGTAAAGCAAGCATACTCGTTAATCCATTGAAAAACCACAACAAACTCACTTAGTATTATTAATAAAAACTGGCATAACAAAAAACAAAATACACGTTATTATAACATACCGTGACAGCTGTCTCTTGTTATTTTACCGTTGACGATAAGATGACGGTTGTTTTGCATAAATGTATTGATAGAGTAATTGATTATGCATAGATAATCACGAAAGAAGAAAAAGAATAAAAACAAACAACAAGAAACTAAAAAAAATTGAAGAAGACAAACATATTTCAGTGGCCGGGGTACAAAGTTTGTGAAATATGATCAAGCATGTTGCGTATGTCAAATATTAAAGCATGGGCGTTACCCAGAACCAAGCTATAAAAATTGCCACGCCTTTTCACTTTAAACCATTGCATATCTTCAGTGGTTTATGTACGCTTAGAAAAACACTTCAAATTGATATGCGCTCATTGTGGAGGTCCTGCAATGGTTTGCGTGAGCTATAGTACATTTATAAAAACACCTTGATAGGTATGATCCCTCATTGAAAACTTCAATATACTCCAAATGTTAGGAAACCTGACATAAGTTAGTAACAGATGATAAACGGCAATAACCCCATCAGACAAAGATAGGCTAAGAATAAGTTTTAATTGCGTTTTTAATGACCCTTTTAATGTTAAAAGTGTGACGCACGTTGACACGTTTAATAACAACCCTATAAGAGATACAGTACGCTCTGTTAAAGTTAAATAATATACATATAACTGAATTTTTGAATCATCCCATCCGTCTCTGTAGAAAGTTAAGTCACGTGATGATACATTTACGTCACCAGAGACGCTTGTATTTCCTGACAACGTACCAACATAGTCAGCAACTACAGACGCGCTGTTGTTGTAACTTGGTTCTGTAAAATTTCCTGTACCGAAGAATGGATCCCTCATTGCAGTTTCTAAATCATTTTCATGACGTAAATAGCATGTTTTCATACGATGTTTCAGTGATTTACATCATTTTATCTTGGACCATTCGCGTTCTTCTTTTCAAATTATAATTTTAACCGAATCAAATGTAGTGCCATAGGCCAAAGTATTTGTTAGATTGAACAATTAAGTCATTACTAGGCAACATCTTGTTTTATTAGAATTCTGTGTTATTCCTCTGCTCTAAAATATATGAATGATCTGAAAATATAGAAATCATTAAGCTTCAAGCATGAAGTTGTATTAAATAGTACATTCTGTAAAAAAAAAAAAGTTTGTGATAAAAGACGGGTGTGTGATATTTTAGAAATATTAAGTTAAATATTGTTGAGTAGTTATGGGGGGAGGGAGGATTGTACGTCGCACTGACACATAAGAGGTCATATGGTGACGTTCTAGCTTACTGCTGGAGGAAGACCTCAGGTGCCCTCTGATATTTCAGGCACGTGCGGGCACCTCAGTAGAACCATCGACGTTCCGTAAACTGTGAATAGCTTCCTGACATGAAATAATTTAAAGTCTCTTGTAGGATTCGAACCCACAGCGATAAGGGGGAAGATGGTGTGAGGTCAACGCCCTAACAATTTGGCCACGGACACCATACTAATAAGAACATATAAAGCAAATAATAATATCTTATACATTACAGACATTCCATTTGAAACATGAACACCAATGATTATACATGTATATAATTATCATTCACAAAAGAAAAAAAATAAAGATAAAAATAAAGTTGTTCTTACCGTTTATAAAACGTAGGCAATATTGTAAGTTTGATCAGATTTTTAGTTCCAGATCACTTCCTAAATCACCAGGAAACTCACAGCCAATGTCTGATATACGTGCTATTTATCACAATAATTATGAACAATTATATAACCACTGTGTGAACGCAGTTTTGCAAAATGTCGCGACATTTATCATAAATGCTTAGAATTTTACTGGTATCATTAATTCATTAATATAATTAGTAAAATGTCCTGAAATATGTCACTGGTGACACGGTGTTTGCTAAAACATGTTTCTTATGGGGATTGTTTTATGTAATCATAATATCTATACATGTCATGTTGACTCATGTTACACATGTGACTATAATAAACAAGTACGGTTACACTATCTAACTCACAAATTCTCTTGATTCATAGAAGCACAAACACCCCTTTTCCTTAAGAGAGAGTAATAACGTGCATGCTTTTGTAAGGATTGCAAGTTCAGAAGAAATTACATGTTTGCTTTATATACAATATAAACAGTTCAATGTTTTCAAGCTGCGTGATCGAAACCGGCTGTGGAAAGCAAGAGATGGCCCAAGAGCATGGCCATAAATTCTAATAA